GGAGGAGATGAGGGAGGGCAGTTGAGGCGCTCCTCCTGTCTCCTCCAGTCATCCTCTCCTCCCTTCACTTCTGTGTGGCGTTTGAACACAGTCAGGCGCAGGGACGTGGAAGAAGCCGGCCCGAGGAAAATAAAAATAAAAATGAATTAACCAGAACCAGGAACAGCGAGGAATGATACAGAGAGAGAGCGGAACCGCCGACACCTGGACCCGCAGTCCTGACCTGGAGGTTTCTGGTACCGAACATTTGGAATTTTTTTGCTGATTTCTGTCGCAGTCAGGGGCAGAAACCCCCTCACCTGGTGAAGACCTCGGCTAAATGAAGGAAACCCATGTCGTTCCAGTCCAGGACGATGTGATTCCAGCAGCAGCGGCGGGTCATTGCGGGAACAGCCGCTGTTTTCCGTGGATTCACCGTTTTTGACGCATTTGCGCCAAAAATGAGCCCAAACCAGCGTGGATTCCATTGTATCAGCTTCACGAGTGGAGTCTAAACAAACACACACCCCTCACCGACTCTATTTTAATTCCCATTTGCAAATAACCGGCGTCAGTTACTGCTGTGGGCGAAGGAGGAGAAGAAGAAGAAGAAGAAACAAAAGAAGAAGAAGACGGAGATAAAAATGGAAAACGAGGTTTTTACGCCGTTGCTGGAGCAGTTCATGCTGTCACCACTGGTCTGCTGGGTAAGAAGCTACAGAAATCCACCTTCCAGCCTGTCAGTCTGGGTCTCATCTCCCCCATTAACACCCCCCTCTCCCCCCACTGCTCCATTCATTTGCAGGTGAAGACAGCGGCCCAGTCCACGGTCACGGACGGCACCAAACTGTCGGAATATGTTGAACTAGTGGACGGGATTTACCTGAACGAGATCATGCTGGAAATGTGAGTAATCTGTCTGACACACACTCACTGCCGTGACCTCCAGAGAAGACAGCCATCTGTCAACTGACCAGCAGGGGGACCACATCTACATGTGGTCATCAGATTATAGGGAATGGGCTCGAATAGAGAGACAAGATTAGGATTAAACACTGAATCATCAGGTTTGGGCTGAGTGTGGTGTTCAGGTGACGTCAGCTGCTCTGTCTTGTGGGTAACTTTCAGGTGAATTGGACGTAGTTTACGAATTTAACGCGAATTTGTTGAAGTTTAATATTTTTAATTCACAATTTGTATCACAAGGAAAGAAATTCATAATCGCGATTTTTTTTTTCTGGTGGTAAGAAAATATAATTACTCTCACAATTACCTGCAATTTTCTGGTGGTAAGAAAATATAATTACTTCAAACCACGACTCTTCAAACCATGTGGTATTATGGGATATTATTATTCTTCCATGTGATATATTGTCCAACGTGGAAACGGTGTAATTGGCTACTGAACTGGAAATACATGTGGCCGTTGATTGGTCGGCGTTCAGGCTGAAAGTCGTCCCTTTCCGATCACCTGCTGGTCGATCGGCACATCTGTAGGTCCAACCCAAACCCTGAGGCCTTCAGAGAGGTCCTCACATCTGTGTGTACTTCATGGACCTCAGTGTCAGCAGGTCATGACTGATGTAGACGAGGTTACTGGGACAGAGGGGCCGAGGACTCAGTCATCCAGGAGTCTGATCCCTGCCGTCATCTGCGGCCGACATCACCGCGCCTCTGGAGGCTGCGGCGCTCCGGCTTCCTGCTGGGATGCAGATCACACTGGGAATGGTAGCAGATAAACGCAGCAGGAACAGGTCCTGATGGAGACACCGTCCCAAAGTCCCCCTGTTCCCCAGTCACTTCCTGTCTCTTTGTCCCTCTCCCTAGGCTGCTGCCTTCAGCAGCTGTGACGGTTTTTCATATTTTCCACTAAAGCTGCTCGCCACAGCGTCAGCATTCACCGCTGTGAACGGCTTTTCACTAAGTTTGTTTCCTTCGTCTGCTGCCTGGAATCTATTCCCGTCCTCTGGGGGATTTACTCCGGGGTCCATCTCCAGCACTGAGTTTATTTAAGCAGTATTTTAGGAGAAACTGTTGTTTGGATCTGGAATTTGGACTTTAGTCTAAAAAACAGGAGTTTCCTCTGCTGTAGGTTTGGTTTACGGCTGTAGCTGGAGCTGTAGGTGTAGCTGGATGTCAGACAGTTCTTTATTGCATTTCCTGCTCAGTCAACATTTACCTTTTCACACTGACCTGACGTCAGGAGGGATTTGGTTTGAACCTGGAAATGAAAAAAATCCCAACAACAACAACAACAAATATAGTGAAATTTAAGAAACTGTGTTAGGAAAATCAAGCTAGCTTTAGCATAAGCTATTGCTGCTAGCACCAAGGTTTTGAGTTTGGCGGTGGTGCTTGAATACGTGAACTCTGTCATAGCGACTAAACTGAAACACTAGCTGCTAGCTGCTAGCCTGGAGAGTTTTTGAATTGAAATGAATTGCTTGTGGTCGGCTAACGTGGCTAACATAGCATGTGATGTGAGGTGTAAATAGAGGATCAGAAGGTCACGTAGCAGCGTGCTAACTTTACTGTACATGTAAACAACAGTTCCTTGTCTGGTCTCAGTACCTTTGAGGTCACGATCACCGTCGATACTGCGGTGACTCGGGTTCTTGTGGTACGTCTCTGAACTGTTAGTAGAACAGTACCAGAGTGTAGCGGTGCCGCCATCAGGCTCTGATTATCCCGACTGGCTGTTTCCTGTCTCTGGTCGTGTCCTCCTTCCTCTGTCCTCGACCTCCTGCTGCTCCAGGGTGGTTCGATGCCCATCATCACATTTCGACGAGCTCTTCCGCCTCTCGACTCTCAGAGGAATCCTTGAGCACGGAGCGGTGTTTGGATAAACCGCTGCAGGTTTTGTTGGACAAGGGCGTCCTCTCCTCTTCTCTGCTCACAAACACACACAGAGTTGGCAGTATTTTTAGGTTGATTTTTTTTTTTTTTCCCCCAATGGGACGTTTGTGTAGTGGAAAAGTAAATTGAAGGATGTGAGAGAGAGTCGTTTCACTGAGTGAAATTGTTAAACATGAAGAGGTTGAGATGCAGAAACTTAGTGCGAATGTATTCATTCATCTGTATGACTTGATAAATCTCTGGGTCGCGGGGTGTGAATGGGTCCATCACTCGTTCACATGTAGAGACGTCCATTCACACTCACATTCACACCAGTAGAGTAAAACCAGAGGAAACTGCAGTACCAGATTTCGACACTAGTCAAACATGCTCTAACTGTAATCTTCTTGTTGTAAGGCCAGAGCACGAACCGCTCGTCCACCGTGCGGCCTCTGGTTCGGGGCACAGTGGGGGTCATTTAAAAAAAAAAAAAAAGTTTTTAAAGACACCACTAGGGGAGACTGTGTTTTGATGCATCTTTCCTGGTTCGTAGCTGTAGAGGATTTTGTTGTTGTTGATGTTTTGTTTTTATTGCCGCGTGTGGCTGAAATGAACGACGTCTGGTTTTAACTTTCGCCTGACAGGAAGTCAGGGATGGCTGCACAGTCTGCTCTGTGTTTATGTTTGTGTGTTGGAGCTTTTCTGCAGGGCTTCTGTGTCTGTGTGGGAGTGGGTGTATCTGGGGGAGTCAGACCCCCCCGCCCCCCCCCCCCCCCCCCC